TTTCAGGGAGATTACTTATTTCCTCTTCGTTTATTTGGTCTTGTGAGTCTCTACCTTGCTTTTTCATTTGTGCTGTATTTCTCTGTTTTTTCGTCTTTTTTTTTTCTAACTTGCTCCACTTGGGGTCTCCTTTTCCCAGGCTTTAGGGTTGTATTACAATCTTCCTTTCAATTTTTGCCCTTGGAGGGAAATGTTGGTTGAGTGGTTTGTGGTGATTTCTTGTTGGGGGTGACTTGTGCCTGTGTTCTCATTTCAAGGAGCTTAGCATGTACCCCTGGAGGCCTGGGGTCTTCTGCTGTCACCCAAAAGTTGCTTTGTAGGAGTTGTTCTATATCTTGATGAGTTTTTGATGTATTTGGGGGAAGGCTTGTGATCTTCCCATCTTATTCCTCTTCCATCTTCTTCCCAGCCTCTTATTCTATTTTAAGATTAATGTTAGATGTAACATCTGAAAAAAATTATTTATAAGTAGGTTAATAAAAGGTATTAGGAAAAGACAGGCTTTTTTGGAAGGTAGGTACTGTATGAATGCAAGCAATTATCATTAAAATTTAGCATTTATCTGCCTAAAGAAATCAAATTACTTCTATTTTGCTAAAATTGTAGGCATGCAGTATGAATCTTAATTACATGTGTTGCCCTTCATGGTTTTGTTTCTTTAGTGTGCTATGTAATTCTTAATATATCTGAAAATATAGGTAGCCAGATTTTGAAAATGATCAATTAACATTTGTCATGTTGATATTTAACTCATGTTGATATTTCTGTCTTTCTCATTCCCCTTTCTTCTTTCTTATTGTTAGAATATTTACTGGTAGTTAGTTAATTAAAATTGTTGACTATTCATTATGGGGCAACCCAAAAGGTAAACTCTGTGTCTTTTCTTTTAAAAGCAAATCTTTACATTACTTACAAGAAAATATTTTTAAAGTGTTATGGGAATTAGCTGTTACCGTGGGAGTAAACACAATTACCAAGCAGAGAAAGATGGATGGAGCTGTGAGCAGTGTGGTTCTTTAAATCATAAATACAATAAAACAAATACAAAAAGGAATCTGGGAAGACACTATCAGAACAGTGATAGCAAAATTAATGGAATACCAACTTCCATAAACTCCTTCCTCCATGAAAGCAATGAGAAAACTGTCGAAAAAAGTGATAATCGGTGTTTTCAGAACTCTGGTAATTAATCAGAGACTTTCAGTAATCCATGAAGTAGTTTAATCAAGGAAAACATCTGAACCTTGGTAAGAACAATGGGATTTCTGGCTTGTAACTTGCCCTATTCCCTTCCTTTTTTTCTGAGCTCCTTGGTAGCGTTGTTAGCCAATAGCACACAGTCACAGTAAAAACAGCAGCCTGGCAGCTACCAGAGGGGACAGAATAGAATTTGAATTTCTTTAAAATCATATTCTTGGAAAATTGCCCTGATTTTACCTTTCTGTAGGTTTTCTGGGAGACTCTGCTTTTTCCTGAAGACGTTTGTGTATTTCTTAACTTCACGGGTACCTGAGGCAGTATAGAACAGTGAATGCAAACAACAGACTAACCAAGAAGCTTGAAAGGAAAAGCAGTGGAAGGATAAATATCCATAGGGGTTTTGAAAAGCCCCACATATTCCTGGTCATCTACAAGTCCACACATATGTCTGTGGTCATGAGATCCAGTGTAGTGGGCTGAACTGCATGTTTTCAAAATTTACATGTTGAAGTTCTAACTCCCAGTGTCTCAGAATGTGACTTTATTTGTTGATAATTAAGGTGTAATGAGGTCATATTGGTAGACTCCAACCTAACGTGACTGGTGTCCCTCTGCGAAGAGATTAGGACACAGACCACAGAGAGGAAGGACCATGTGAAGACACAGAGAGAAGACGGCCACCTAGAAGCAAGGGAGGGAGGCTCTCGAAGGAAACTAACCCTGCCAACACCTTGATCTTGGATTCCTAGCTCCCAGAACTGTGAGAAAATTAATTTCTGTTGTTTAAACCATCAGTCAGTGGTAGTTTGTTAAGAGAGCCCTAGCAAATGAATACCAACACGACCCTGAGCTCCCTCTGGTGTCTTTGGATCTTTTACGCAAATAGGAAGTAAAGCTACAGCAGATTCATCAACTGCATGAGTCAATGTTGAAGAATAGCCCCATGAACTTAGGGCCCCCAGAAAATACTGGGAGACTTACTGGCCCTAGGAGTTAAAAAAAAATCACTGTCTATTTATTAGTTGGTGTCTAAGTCAACTAAACTGATATTCCCATAGTCATATATGATAAAGAATGTAGATTTTACCGAATTAGTTCAGAAAGGTCACTAGCCAAAGACATAAAATCAGCTGTTTAAATACGTTCAAAGAACTAAAGGATACCATGCCCAAAGAACTGGAAAGAAAGTCATGACAATAGTATCTCACCAAACACAAAATACCAACAGAGAGATGGAAATTACAGAAAGACACAGATGTAAAGAACAGACTTTTGGACTCTGGGAGAAGGAGAGTGTGAGATGATTTGAGAGAATAACACTGAAACATATACATTGCCATATGTAAAATAGATGACCAGTGCAAGTTTGATGCATGAAGCAGGGCACCTAAAGCCCGTGCTCTGGGATAGCCTGGAGGGGTGGAGTGGGGAGGAGGGAGGTGGAAGGGAGGTTCAGGATGTGGGGGACACCTGTGTACCTCTGGTCGATTCATGGTGATGTATAGCAGAAACCATCATACTATTGTAATTATCCTCCAATTAAACAAATAATAAATAAAATAAATTGCAGGAAGAACAGAGGAGTAATTCTTCAGTTGAAAAGTGGAGTAAAAAAATTCACCAGAAGGCTTCTATTAGATTCCTATGACTGTTGTAACAAGTTACTACAAATTGGGTGGCTTAAAACAACAGAAATTTATTTTCTCATAGTTCTGGAGTCCAGATGTCTGAAATGAGTTCACTGGGCTCCAGACAAGATGTGAATAGGACTGCCCTCCCTCAGAGGCACTATGGGAGAATCTGTTCCTTCCTCTTCCAGTCTCTTGATCACTGGCATTCCTTGGCTATGGGCACACCCCTCTAATCTCTGCCTCTGTGGCCACACCGCCTTTCCTCTTCTACTGACAATCAAATATTCCACTGCATCTCTCTTCTAGGGCTATATGTCACTGCATACAGAGCTGACCCAGATAACCTATGGTAACCTTCTCCACAAATTCAAAATGTGAGTGCTTGCCAGTTCAGGGTATGCAGTCATCTATTATTTTTTAAAAGTTGATGGGCAGAGTATTGAGATCCAAGTAAGTTGCTTTATTTGTTGGTAAAAAATGTAGAATTTTATTTTCTAACAACCGAAAGGAAGGGTTTTGCAAAGGAAACCCAGGGGATAGTTTAGAAGCAGCAGTATGTAGCCAGGAGAATTCCAACAATGCCCTTTTCTGCTCACTGTTCTCGGGTTATGGAAAATGAGCAAATGCTGAAGGACAGGCAAAAGTTTCTTAAACCCAGATGGTAGGGGAAAGTTCTAGAATTATTGAGAAGAGAGTAGGTTTTTTTTTTTTTCATGATGATTATTGTGACTTTAGAATAAACTTTCCAGAGATCACCATGGCAAGTGGTTCAACTGACCAGGAATGATCGGAGATAAAGGATTACAAAGTAATATGGAAGCAACAGAATAGGGAGAGAAGAAGCTTTTGTTTAGAGAGAAAGCAAGAGAGACTGAATGCGAGTTATTGGGAAGATAAATGGCTTAGTCTGTCCAAAACTAGATACATCCTCTAGAACAGGACAAGAGTTAATAGATGCTGTTAGCTGTGATACTATACTTTCATAAATATTTTTCTCACATTATCATTGATATTAGATTTCACAGTTGTACTTATTAATTACTGAATATATGAGTGTAGTAGGTAATTTAATGGTTATGGCTCTAAGCCCATTTTCACTACTTGTTGAAAATTCTGGCAGGAGGAATTTAATAACTTGATACTTCTGAGAGTGACCACAAAGGTTCAGAGTTTGATAATGTTCTGAGTGACAGAGCTGGGAGGATGCAATGACTGACAATCTCTAGGAAGTAACATCAGGTCAAATATATATATATTTATTTTTATAATTTTATATATATATATATATGTATATATCAAACACATGTGTCCTCAGAAAGTCTACTTCACTTTCTTGAGCAAAGCTCTGTAGATAAAAATATTCATTTGACACTAGCAAGCAGGCCCAGACCTTCTGGGGACTAGCTGAGGTAAATGAGGAGCTGGATGGGGGTGTAGTCATTTGTGGGCTTCTAAGGAACATGTTTGAATGAAAAAAAATCACAATAACCCTCTACCTTTCCTGGACACAGCTTCTCATTGGATAATAGCCAAGTACACAGAACCACATTTATGGTAATTTCTCAATCTCCATGCACACATTTTAGATCTGAACAAAATGTACTGTAGAAGAGAGACACAAAGTGAAAGCAGAATAAATGTAACTGAATATGTTACTAATATAGGAAGCACTCATTCTGGTTGATGAAAAGAACATTATTGTTTAATATTTAGGGCAGAAATTTTATTGCTGTTAAGAAAAATTCTCAAAACCCAAAAGGTGGTGTGTTTTTCCTCTTTAAAAGCTATAGGAGCTGTATTTCACAGCTGAACATTCACATTTTCTTATGCTTGAATCACACAGGGTAATTTTAGCTAAAAATTGCAATCAGAAATAAAGTTTGGGTAAATACAAATTTTGAAAGCCTAATACTTTGCAGTAGCTTTGTTTCCAAACTTAACACAAATACTGTCACTGCTAAATACATGTGAAAACTTGTGAATTCTGACTGTAAATCTATAAATACCTGTCATGATAATATTAACTCTACAGTATATAGAGTTATTTTTGGGGGGGTTTGATTTCAAAGGTACTTTGTGCTTAGCACTTTAAAATTACATTTTAAGGTAACAACTGTTAGGAAGACTTTTTGGTAAAAATCTTTTTTTTTTTTTTCTTCTCACTTGCAGTTTGGTTGCAACAAAGGAAACAGACAGTGCAAGGTCTCGAAGTGCCCCAATGTCACCTTCTGACTTTCTAGATAAATTAATGGGAAGGACGTCGGGGTATGATGCGAGAATCAGACCCAATTTTAAAGGTAATTGTTCTGCTTACTACAATACATATAATTAAGCAAGATAAATTTCCTAATTGATTCTCCCCCAAATTCTAATACTTATTTCCAATAATCCTCCAAGCACCATGTTGGTCAAAGAAGAAATACATTCTCGTGTTAATAGTTATCACAATTTGCCTTCTTTGGATTGTACAACATTATGTTGGTTTAAGTGTACAGCTTCATGATTCAATTTTTTATACATTATAAAGTGATGGTCACAGTGACATTAGTTAAAAAAACCCTTAGTGAGTTTGTGGGAGAATGAACACATGTGTTGAATATATGTATGGCCAAGTCCCTTTGCTGTTCATGTGAAACTGTCACAATATTGTTAATCCACTATACCCCCATACAAAATAAAAATTTTTTTAAAGGAGAAAGGTGACAAAAGAAAACTTAGAAAATGACTAGATAGATGATTAGGCAATAGGAAAATGTTTTTAAAATATAAAATTCTTGGGAAAAACTTGTGTGTTTGACCTCTCAGTAATTTATAAATTTTGAAAGAAGAAAACAAAAACATCTTGGTAGAGACATTCTCAGACAATTTGCAAAAATTAAATAAGAATATTCAATCTAATTAACAGTCAATGAAGTTTAAGTTGTAATAATGTGATAGCACTTTCATCTTTTAAATTATTAACATTTAACAATAAGCAAGGTGAAAAGACAGGCTTCAGAATGGGAGAAAATAATAGCAAATGAAGAAACAGACAAAGGATTAATCTCAAAAATATACAAGCAACTCCTCCAGCTCAACTCCAGAAAAATAAATGACCCAATCAAAAAATGGGCCAAAGAACTAAACAGACATTTCTCCAAAGAAGACATACAGATGGCTAACAAACACATGACAAGATACTCAACATCACTCATTATTAGAGAAATGCACATCAAAACCACAACGAGGTACCATTACACGCCAGTCAGGATGGCTGCTATCAAAAAGTCTACAAGCAATAAATGCTGGAGAGGGTGTGGAGAAAAGGGAATCCTCTTACACTGTTGGTGGGAATGCAAAATAGTACAGCCACTATGGAGAACAGTGTGGAGATTCCTTAAAAAACTGGAAATAGAACTGCCATATGACCCAGCAATCCCACTCCTGGGCATACACACCGAGGAAACTAGATCTGAAAGAGACACGTGTACCCAAATGTTCATCGCAGCACTGTTTATAATAGCCAGGACATGGAAGCAACTAGATGCCCATCAGCAGACGAATGGATAAGGAACATATATAATGGTACATATACACAATGGAATATTACTCAGCCATTAAAAAGAATTCATTTGAATCAGTTCTAATGAGATGGATGAAACTGGAGCCCATTATACAGAGTGAAGTAAGCCAGAAAGATAAAGACCGATACATTATACTAACACATATATATATAGAATTTAGAAAGATGGTACTGATAACCCTATATGCAAAACAGAAAAAGAGACACAGATATACAGAACAGACTTTTGGACTCTGTGGGAGAAGGCGAGGGTGGGAAGTTCTGAGAGAATAGCATTGAAACAAGTACACTATCAAGGGTGAAAAAGATCACCAGCCCAGGTTGGATGCATGAGACAAGTGCTTGGGGCTGGTGCACTGGGAAGACCCAGAGGGATGGGATGGGGAGGGAGGTGGGAGAGGGGATCGGGATGGGGAACACATGTAAATCCATGGCTGATTCATGTCAATGTATGGCAAAAACCACTACAATATTGTAAAGTAATTAGCCTCCAACTAATAAAAATAAATGAAAAAAAATGTCAAAAAAAAAAAAAAGTGAAGGAGGAGAGTGAAAAAGCTGGCTTAAAGTTCAACACTCAGAAAACTAAGATCATATCATCCAGTCCCATCATTTCACGGCAAATAGATGGGGAAACAGTGGAAACAGTGGCTGACTTTATTTTTTTGGGCTCCAAAATCACTGCAGATGGTGATTGCAGCCATGAAATTTAAAGATGCTTGTTCATTGGAAGGAAAGTTATGACCAACCTAGACAGCATTTTAAAAAGCAGAGACCTTACTTTGCCAACAATAATCTTAATTATTTCAGTCTCAAATACATTATTATAAAATTTATTTCTGGAATACTGGTTTCAAATTTGTGGTTGTTTTCACAAGTATATTTGCATTAAAGTAGAATCTATGTTGTGGAATTGTTCTCCAATATGGAGAACAATTCTTAAAAAATATTTAAGATGACTTCATTAAAACATAACTTTGTATTTTCCCTTTTATATACTTCTAACTTATAAAAAAACTGTAGATGTAGATTTTTCTTTAAACAAAATTGTGATACTTGTTTGTATGATTTTGTGTAATTTCTCTAAAATATAGTACATTTTAAAAATTTTGATTTGCTTGAGATTAAATATTTTAAATGTTATTAAAATGCATTATACAAAAGTAGAAATAAATAATTCTCTTAAATTACTTTAAATTGGTCCTGAGCACAGATAGAATGGTCTCTTCCATTGAAGATTATCTTAGTAAATAATTAAATATAAAGGTTAGCTATTTATAAAAATAAATATTTAAAGACATTAAAACACTTAGATGTCTAACTTACTAAGATTATTATTTTTTTCCCTTCCACGGGTTAATCAACTATCCTCTTCCCCTCCAGAATAGTCATAATTCATCTTAAACCTTTCTGAGAATCAGGTTTCTCCAAGAAAGACTCTGTGCCTTTACCATAATTGGAGTATGAAATCTCTGTTATGTTTTAGTCCTATTAAATGTAATGATTTTGAACTATTATAAAGAATGTGTTTAATAACTATAATTGGGTTTAGAAATAATCTTGGAGTCTGCTTAAAAAGAATTGGCAAATAAAGCTCCATATCTCACTAAATTAGTTAATCATTCAAAAGAAATCAGAGTTTTGTACAAATCATTTCAAAAATTTGGTCTTAGGCAGAAGAAGTGATGTTTATAGAAGCAGTTATTTCCATTTTGAAAAAAAAATAATAGGTAGATGTTAGTACTTCTTTCCTGGAATTTGAAATGTTTCCTTTAGAACTTTCTATTTAGGGAAAAGCAGGAATGGAAGAGGCACAATTTATCAGGCAGAAGCCACACAAACTGCAGAAAGGTGGTGCTCCAGGTTTCTAGGCAGGTGCTACTTTATATGTTTATCTGTTTGTTGTTTTATGACAGTAGTAAATATCATGTACCTGAACTTGGTAAAAACTAAATTGTCCAAAAATATTAGTGATGAACAGCTTCAACAGTTCTTCAGCCAGTTCTACTTCTTAGAGGCAAACACTCCGGAAGGAAAATTGGTAATTTGCAGTGAGCATCTGTTTAATCTCTGATGGCTTTTTAGGCCCCTTACAAAGAAGGTGTTATGACCAGTTCTTTGCACTAACTAGACTGCTAGTTGGATGCCTCCATTCTTGCATTCCACCTCTTCTGTTTTACTTTTTTTGGGCCAATGATTTTTCTTCCTGCAGGAGCAATATTTATTCATCTTGTTCACTATCTTTCAGTTGTTAGTTTTCTTGCATGTAATAGAAATGCTCTGTAGTTTAGGAGGGACCAAGTCCATTAGCCTGGGTGCTGATACATGTTCTATCTGCTCTGTGTGTGTGGAAGGAGGTGGTTTTGTGCTATCTCTCTTGGGGAAAGGACATGTGACAGAGATGGTTCTGCCCTGGGCACAGCTTTGCTTCAGGTGAGGGCTGAGTTGCTAGGTTTTGGTCTGGGGTTCTCCAAATGCCAGAATAGAGATGACTTTAGTTTTGAGGTACTGTCAGGAACTCTTTTTATCCTAATCATTTTTTTTTTTTTTGCAAAGAGAAGTTGAATAAATTCTGGAAATCTAATGCATAACCTTGAGGTTATAGTTAACAGTACTGTATTATATACTTAAAAATTTTTTTTCTGAAGTACATTTTAATTTATTAATAAATTTTTTTGAAGTATAGTTGCTTTACAATGGTGTATTAGTTTCTACTGTACAGCAAAGTAAATCAGCTGTCTGTGTAAGAATATCCCCTCTTCTTTGGATTTCATTCCCTGTAGTATACCACAGAGCACCAAGTTCCCTGTACTATACATTAGGTTCTCATTAATTATCTATGCATAGTATCAGTAGTGTATATATGTCAGTCCCAATCTCCCAGTTCATCTCACCTCCACAATCCCCCTTGGTGTCCGTATGTTTTCTGTTTTGCAAATAAGTTCATCTATGACATGAAGTGAAGTGAAAGTCGCTTAGCTGTGTCCGACTCTTTGAGACCCCATGGACTATACAGTCCATGGAATTCTCCAGGCCAGAATACTGGAGTGGGTAGCCTTTCCCTTCTCCAGGGGATCTTTCCAACCTAGGAATCAAACCCAGATCTCCCACACTGTAGACAGATTCTTTACCAACTGAGCCACAAGGGAAGCCCAAGTTCATCTTTACTATTTGCTAATAGAGTAGATCTTAAATGTTCTTACCACAAAATGAAATAGTAAGTATGTGACATGATGGAGGTGTTAGCTAATGCTAAAGTCATAATCTTATTGCAGTATATAAGTGTACTAAATCAACACATTGTATTAATGCATTTTAAGCATTGTATGTTGTATGTCAATTTTATCTCAATAAAGCTGGAAAAAGAAAACACTTAAAAAGTTAGCATTGCTTACAGACTCATATTATTTTGAATCACCTTCATAAATTATGTCTGCAGAAAGAAAAAAAAAAATGCATCCTTCAAACCCATGGAAACCCCAGGCCAGCCCTACTCTAGGGGACAATGGATGGCGGCAGAGAGCTTTTTGGGACAGGTATCCATGGCCTCTGCTACTCCATCTAATGCCCCACCTCCTTTTCTGTTAATGGTGACTGAATTTTGTGCCTCTTAGCACGTTAGCTTCCTTCTCCATGTTGTAGTAATCATCACTTATTTAGGCTTTTCTCTGTTTCATGTATCGACTATTTTCTTCTGCCTTTTATATCATTAAACCAATTCTGACTTTCCTGTCA